CTCAGCATGAAGAATCAATGGCTGAAAAATGCAGTGGCTAAGAATGGATTGTGTGTGTGTTTCACTTATGGAGAGGCACTTAAAATTTATAGAGCATTTTCATACAATAAGTATATATCAAAACACTCCAAAAAGAAAAGCGATAAGGACAAGCAGTACAGCGATTGCATAAAAGCAAATGTCAGAGTCTCTATGCCTTTCTTGTACTACTCATAGATAGCAGATGCATTGCTTTCTTTCATTGAAAGTATACTCACCAGGAAATTGATGCTGTATTTTTTTCTTAACAGAAAGCATTTTCTCATGTATAGCTTAGAAGTTGGGAAAAAAATATTGGATAGATGCATCTTGATTCAGGAATTATCCTTGTAAGACAATGAAGGTTAGCCTATATATGCAACTCTATTACACCTTATATCAGGCATAGGCAAACTCAGCCCTCCAGATATTTTGGGACTACAACTCCCATCATCCCTGACCACTGGTCCTGTTAGCTAGGGATGATGGGAGTTGTAGTCCCAAAACATCTGGAGGGCCGAGTTTGCCTATGCCTGCCTTATATTAAATAAGACTTTCATTTACCTCGTAACCTGTATGTGCCAAAGCTTAATGGAAATGCTACTTCAAAAGGCACCATTCTCCCTGCACTCTCAAACTCTCATTACCATGTATTATGATGGTGCTTTCTCCCACCCCCAACAGGTAGCTAATGTTTGGCATGGAGGATGGCTGCACTTATTAAGCCATTCATTTTGAAAGATGCTACACAAGAACCATGGTAAAGTCATATTATCTGGACATTTCCCCCCTCTGAAAATCTCAATGGCAGAAATTCTCAAGCAAGCCCAGCACTTGCAAATTACCTGTGGCGAGTTTGAAAGAGGCAGTGAGAAAGTTTGTTTCTAAAGCCAAGCCATTGGCTGCAGTTACACCCAGGTGGACTTGATGAAGACAGGGTTCAGGAAGCTGAGGAATGAGCTGGAGGTGCCCATTTACCTTTTCTAAACATCAGAGAATGCCAAGGAGGAAAGAGAAAAGAGGGACTTACAGAACAGAAGAAGATTGCATAGGAAGAAAGGTAGCAGCAAAAATACTTGAGAAGAATCAGTAGGTAGTGTGTAGGACAAGGGGAAGCGGGAGGGCTAGGGTGTTCTCAAAGCTCCCCTGTGTGGGCGGAACTTTTTTCAGATTGAGACAGAAATGTGAACAATGTAATGGAGGTTTATTTTAATTTTGTATAATAGGATAGTTTCTTCACACATTCAGACATCCTGCTCTAGGACAGTGTACTGCAAACAGAAGTTCAAAAGTAATCAGTCATTTGCAAGCTTAGAGCAGCTTGCTTGCTAGGAGCTGTCCATGGTCCTGTGACAACTGATCTGTATTACCAGATAGGTTCCTCTGTGCGACCAGAACAGGACAAAGCACAAAAAGGCACAGGGAAGGAAGAATGCAGCAGCAATGAAATAGCAGAGAGATGAAAGACAATGATAAAAACAAAACCTCATCCATAAAGCCCATGAAAAGCAAAATATTTTAACACCATGCTAGAGGTCCAGGATTAAGGAGGCCAGATGTGCTTCTTTGGGAAAGTCCCAGTTTCTGGGTACTGCAGTGCTCTCGCCTGAATACCCAAATGGCTAACTTCTTAATGCAGGGAAGACCTAGAAAGCCTTCAGCTGGCAAGCTAGAACAAGTGTGCCTGTTGTTTTATTATTAATTAAAAATACTTTTAAATTGCCCTTCACCCAAAGGGCCCATGGTAGAAGGGCACATTGTCCAAACCACAATTTAAACAACATGTTTAAAGAAGCATTAAAGAACATACTGAATTTAGTTTTAAATAAAAACCACTAGCAGACATAAATATTTGACCTGAAGGCCACATTTACTTTTGGCTGACCCTCTGAGGGCCTCAGGTCAGTGGTGAGTGGGCCACCCAACCGTCTCCCTGCTTAGGCCAGAACATCCATGTAATGTTGACAGAAATCAACATAGTTCTGAGAAGACCAAGCGAAATTTCTCAGAGGAGATTTCACACTATCCAAGTTGAAACATCAATATTATTGCTAGAAATGATTCCTTAGCACCGTGTAAGGCATCAACACAGGCCTCCTGAAGGGGTATAAACTTTAAGTGTGATGCTATGATCAAACATTTGACATATGGTTTCACAGTGGGTGCCCCAGAACGCATGCCAAATGTAGTGAAATTTTGCAGCTGGTGGTATATTTTAGTGGAAGTGGAAGTGTGTATACAGTTCTAGATCCTGAAATCTTAATAACTGGGTTTTCCTTCCTGTTTTTGCTTATGGAAATGGTTCCATGCCTGCCTTATATATACTACTTTCATTTCATTGCTTGAAACCCCAACACAACTTTAAAGAAACTTACAGCAATATTCGGTTTTTCGGTAAATTGATATGTACAGCCCCCCCATCTCTACTCAAAAGTAAGCCACAGCCAGTTCATCTAAAGCAGGGTGTGGAACTTTCCAGGGGTCACATGCTGGTGGTGTTGGGGAGCAGAGGCAAAAGAGGATAGAGCGATGGATGTGGTTCTTACCTTTGGAGAGTAGGCTATATTCCACCCACTGAAATGACAGGGCTTTTTACATTCACACACATCTCTCCATTCCCCCATCCAACCAAGCGAGCCAAACTATCACTGTCTAAGGACACATTGCTGCCAGACAGAAGCACTTGAAAAGGGGGTAGTGTAGGACCAGTGAGAGGTGTGGCCTGTGGAGAGAGGGTGTGGCCTATGGAAGGCCTTATGGGCCACATTTGGCCCCTGGCCTGATGTTCCTGATCCCTGTCTTAAGAGATGTATGATTTTCACCTAGGGAATTTCACAAATGTTATACAAATTCTCCTTGGGTCCTTCAAAAACCCTTCAAGTTTGTTTGTTTGCTGCTGCTCCTGCTTTTGTTTTAAAAAAACCTGAATCCCCCTCCCCCCAGACCAAGTTCACCTTGTAGATATGCTTTAGTTGAAATTTGCTGGCAAATCTAGTTGTTATGCTTCTCTAAAGAGCAAACACTGCTGATTACAATCTACACTTAATATTTCCCAAACTCAGGAGATTTTGCTCTGTTTCTGATGCAGCTAAGTTCTGGATGAACCATCTTGAGACAGCAACATGATTCATATTTAAGAAGTGTGGTAACCCATTTTGAATGAAAGGCAGTTTGGGGCTATTGGAGTTTTCAGATAAATGTAATTGTGATGTATGCAAAATGTACAACTTCAATGGAGCCAGCAACAAATACAGTGTTGGTAGCTAAGAGGGGGAAAACAGTAAACAGAGAAGAATGTAAGAGAAGTGCTGCTATTGTAATGAAACATGAATAGGAGCTTCCAAACTGGTATAAATAAACAAAAAAGTCTCTGGCATTTAACATCTCATACAAAAGAACTGACACATCACACAGTGTTCTGAGCAAACATCCACTAATCCAAAATGCAGGGAGAATTGAAGACATTTGCATAATACAAGAACCTATGAATGGAAATTAACATTATGGTCCTCAACTGACCCCAGTGAGAAACTTTTCTGCAGTAAGTAGTTTTGTACTGTAATCTTGATGCTGTATTTTAAACACCCTGGAAAGACCAAAACCTTGCATACTTCATTTTGATTGTTTCTAGGACTAGCCCTTCTACTTTCTATTTGATGTCAGCATTCTATTTTTCTCAACCCCCACAAAGATCTGAGTAAAAGCTCAATGCACATATGTAAGGTGCCTGATAGGGGAATGAATGGCAGGCAGGCAGATTCCTGCAACGAGACCCACTTCACCCCTGGAATAAGAAAATATATGGAAGTTCTCCAAAGCAAGTATAATTACTCCCCCCCCCCCCAAAAAAAAACCACTCCCAAAAGATTCAATGGATAATTAATCCACTTTGATAGCGATGGAGCTTGCTATGTAGTTTCAGGTCTATTCCACTTTTTGTTATGGATTTTCACATGGAAAAGAAGCCAAGGCAACCGAATTTAAACAGCTGATTAGCATTTCATAATCTTCTGTAGGTGTTTCAGTCACTTCATCCTTTTCTTTTTATTGTTGCCATGTTGATATCAGTTCTACCAGAGCTGTGAGAGCTGCTTAGCTTAAAACAAACCTTCTTGCCTGAAACTCAGTGAATTGCCAAAGAATGAAAGTAGGTGGGATGAGGAACCTGTTGCCCTCCAGATATTGTTGGGCAACAACTTCCATGATCCATGACTGTGCTGGAATCACCCACCAATCTATGGTTATCTTTATATACTTAACTAAGATGCCCATACATGAGGCCAACAGGGGTAGAGAACTTCCAAATGTAGCATAAATTCCATAATCCCTTGTCACTGACTATGCTGAATAGGGATTGTGGGAATTGGAATCCAATAACATTTCAAGGCCCATGGACCCTCCATTCATGCCCTACAATTTTAGAAGTGAGATAAAGATAGATACAGATAGGATATTAAGATAGTTACATCTTATGCTTCATATATGTACTATCCGAAACATTTGTGATTCTCTTTTTAACCCAGAAATTACTCCAAATGCCATTGAACTAATGCTCACATAGCCCCAGTGCTCAAATTACAGGCTGACAAAATGGACTCAAGTGCCAGACCTTTGTGACAGCCTCTTAAATTACGGTTTTTAGATGGCTACTGGGGGGTGGGTGTGCCAAGAGATTGGATTTTCTCATTTCATTTAGGCACATCTATCTTTTCTACCATAATCTGGTCACAGCATTCCATAACCCAGCCCAATGCCTGTTTGATCAAAGCCAACATATCTCCTAGTAAGTGCGTATGGAATTGCAGCCCAAGAGAACAATAAGGGAATAGAATGTTACATCATGGACTAAGCATCTCTTTTGTAAAGGCTAGGAACATAGGAAACTGCCTTATGCAGAGCCAGAACATTGGTCCTTCAAGCTCAGTATTGTCTACTGTGGCTTTCAGTGGTTCTCTAGGGTTTTAGACAGTGGTCTTCCTACTTGGAGATACCAGGGACTGAACCTGGAGCTACTGCCTGCAAGGCAGGTGGTCTGCCACTGATCTATGCCCCTTTCCCGAAGAGTGGATTTAACTTCTTTCTTCCAGACCCTATTTTAGAGCATTCCCCCTTTGAGGAAACAGGATGAATTCTTTCCTAGCAGACTTATTCCACAGATGCACAAGTCTTCCATTTGTCCTTATCACATACCTTCTTTTGGAACAGAAACAATTATGGGTACCCATTTCAGAACACCACCCATTTCTTTACTTGAATGATAATGGCATGAAACCCACGACTTTTGTTGACTTTGCTATGTTGTCCTTTGGAGACGCTTGCAAGTTTTCACATCATATTTTCTTCTCTAGCATTATTCAAGTGTTTTTGCTCTTGTGCAGGATGGGAGAGGTTAAGAAAGTAAAAATAATAAAAGGGACTCCTTCATTTGTTCCCTTAATGTACAAGCCAAAGGGCCAGCACTAGTCTATTACTGAGCTCTGCATGACTTCTTAAATCTCTAGAATTAGGATGGCAGGGAGGAGAAAAGAGAAAATGAAAAGTCAATTTAAGGTGAACAAAAAGTGACTCTAGATCGGAGGCTCAGTACATTCTGAATTACTCTGATAACAGGCTTGAGGAAAGTTCCAGTGCATGTAAGGTAGCTCTGTGCTTTGGGCTTACTTTTTCTCTGCATGGTGCTCCTGACCACAAAGGGAGGTGCAAAGAGGGTTCTCTGTTTAGCAATATGTATCCACATACTGCCACTAGTTTGGCTAGTTGTGTTTAATGGAGGCATGTTACTAAAACAGGATGTAGTAGCTTGTTATGTGTGTGTCTCCCCTTGCTTGACAGTATCGTGCAGAGACTGGTTCACTTAGGTAATTATAGATTCTTGACTTATATGGTCTTATGGAGGCCTCCTCTTTGAATGGTATTAGGTATTACTTCATGTTGTGATAAGCCAGGCCTACTTGTGCACTTATGCCCTTGCTCATTTTGCTTAGTGGGGCTCTGGATTTCTGCCTACAAAGTCCTGCCACTGCATGCCACCTTATGGCAGATGGATATCTGATCAAGTTCCCATGATTCAGTAGGGCACACACCTTTGAAGAGGGCTCTGTTGTCTTCCTCTCTTCCTTTTACCTGTTGTCAGAGGCAAATGGGCAGCCCCACATCCAGTAGTGTCAGTTTCCTACAGACTATTGGCTGGCCACTGTGAGAAAGAATTGCTGGACTAGATGGGTCATTGGTCTGATCCAAAAGGCTCTACTTATATTCCTAAGTCCAGGCACTTACCCAAGTGACAGCAGTCCTCAGTGGTGAAGGAGCAACCAAGTGCTCCCCTTTTCCATCACCCATACAACAGAAGTTAAGTGCAGGTACTCCAAATGGAAGCACGTACACATGGCTGCCTGATTAGCAGTGCCAGCTGAGATGGGGCCCAAAACATTATAACAGGGATTGATAACCTGTAGCCTTCCATATGTCATTAGACTCCAAAATCACATCATCACTAAACACTGGCTGTCCTGGATGGGGCTGATGGGAGTTGTAATCAGACAACTTCTGGAGGGCCACAGGTTCCCCATGCCTGTTTTAAAGACATATTTTTGCATCATCAGATGCTAATTCTGGTCTCTATTCCCTGACACCACGATGCCCTTACAATTGGTGCTCATTCTTACCAGTCCAAAGAAGCAAAGAAATGAAAGTAGAAATATGGTGTGAATCAGATTTCCATACGTATTATTTAGCACATAGCACACTTCATTGTATTTTCTGTTCTGTTGTGTTAGTGGCAGTGGGGAACTGCACATCCCTGCTCGTCCACCACACAGAGACTTATGATCAGCCACCTCAACACAGTGACCTACTGGTCTGACAGAGTTCTTATACATGTAGTACATGAAAAAGGATTATTACAAAAATGCAATAACAGACTGGCTGTTCTTTAGCCAACAATTTAATTTCATTCTACTGGGGGTGGAGAAATGACAACAGCGCTCGTGGGGGAGTTCCTAATAGGAACAGTAGTTATTTTGGGCTGCCTTGCATCCCTTGAAGTATATTTGCATTACTCAGAGATAATAAAGAAGTCACAGCACAACAACTTCTGCAGATTTTCCAATTTTGTAGGTGACGCTGACATATGAAAGGTTTAATTTAGAGTCCAAACACAAGCATTAGGGGCGGTGGCAGGGTGGGGGTGGGGAGAGAGAGCTCATAGCACTCACACAGAGGACATTACTGCATCCAGAGGCTGTGCAAATCCCTGCTGTTTCTGTGGAAGTAGATTTATGGTAGTATGAGGATAGATTTGCCTAAGTGCGTGCTACAGAAGAAGGAGGGAAAGGGGAGCTGATATTCTGTTTGGATCAAGAGAGGATAACGTAGCTGAGCTCAGAGCCATCAAAGGAATGACACACACACACAGGCATCTTGTTGGGTTGTCTGTTATAATAAAAGCTATGTATACAACAGGGATTTAGGAATGCCTTCTCATCTTGTGCCTTCTTTCTTAAAGGTGTAGTAGCGAAATCACATCTAACAGATGGATTTTTTTTAAAAAAATACTAAAGGAAAATGTGATTTCTAACAATCTGTGGAAATTGCAAAGTTGATGCAATCTCAAGTCATTAAGCTGCTAGGATGGTCCAGGTCATTATTTTCAACCACAGTATGCCCCACGGAGGACCTTAAGGTCCATAAATAGTAACACCCTAGAGGTCCCGGGCCCTAAGGAAGTTAGATTAGCCTCAACCAGGGCCAGGGCTTTTTCAACACTGGCAACCCGGTGGAGCGCTCTGTCTCATGAGACCAGGGCCCTGCAGGATCTGATTTTTTTCCGCAGGGCCTGTAAGACAGTTGTTCTGCCTGGCCTTGGCTTGGAGTCAATTTGATTCCCTCCCCCTCTTTATTTTTTCCTTTCTCCTCCTGTGATGAGACTGCATTTTAATGTTTCAATATTTTAATGTTGTATTTTAATCTTGTTTTTAAATTGTAATCATTCAACTTGTTTTTATTACTGCTTGTTAGCCGCCTTGAGCCCGGCCTTGGCTGGGGAGGGTGGGGTATTAATAATAATAATAATAATAATTTAGGGGCTTTGATCACTCACAAGTGGTGCATCAGGGATCACAGAGAATGCTGGAGCAAATAAATGTGAACGCCTGTCTACTGTTAGACATAATGGCAGTCAGATGGGAGCTGGTATGGTATAATGGTTAGAACATAGGACAAAGGTCAAATCCCCACTCAGCTCTAAAGCTCACTGTGTGACTGTAGCAGGAATAGCCAAAGTAGTGCCCTTCAGGTGTTCCTGCACTCCAACTCCCATCATCCTGGACCACTGGGCCATATTGTCTGTTGTGTATGGCACTTGTGGTCCAACAACCTCTGAAGGGCATCACATTAGCCACCCCTATTTTGGCGCACTAGACTAATGTTTTAGGGATATTCTGGAAAACTGGCAATATAGAAAGGGAGATCCCAGGAAGCTGCCTTACCCAGAGGCAAATCATTGGTCCTCCTAGCCCAGTATTGTCTTTTTTTAAAAAAAAAATATATTTATTACTTTTATCGATTACAAAAAGAGAAAAAAGAAGAGAAAAAGAAAAAACAGAAAAAAGACAAAGAAAGAAAGCAAAAAGAAAAAAAAAATACAATACAATATATAAACAATGTAAAACACAACCTAAACTCAAAACTAAACACATTAAACTAAACTAAACAAACCCCACTCCCTAGCCTTAAACCTAAAAGAAACAAAACAAAAACAATTTAAAAACATACATCATCTCTTTTCCGTACTCTATCTTTCATTCCCTTGTTTCCTCGACCTCCTCTCACCTCCCTTTTTGTATTCCACTTCTTTTAATTGTTTCAGCAAATCCTTTCCATCTTTCTCCATTTTCTATCATATTGTAAATAACGTATTTTTTAACCTTATTTTCCATTAAAACTAAAATACTTATATATACTTAACTCCTTATAACATTTCTGCTAAGCCCATAAAAAATCATTCCACCATTTTTCTGTCCCTCATTAGTTTTACCAGAAGTCTATATATAAACTTTAAATTTTCCAATCTTCTTCCACCATCTCCTCTCCCTGGTTTCAGATTCTGCCAGTCCTTTCCGTCAACTCCATAAATTCCATCAACCTGGTGATCTTATGTCCGAGGCTCTTAACTCTTTTCCAAGTCTCTTCTGCAGGTCTTCTTCATTTTCTTTAATGCTAAAGAGCAAATCTCGGGGAAACTCCAACCTGTCAATCCTTTTCTTCCTTCTGAACAGATCAGCCAAATTTCCATAGTTAAAGCTACAGTCCATAAAGTATTTCAGGGCATATTTCAAAATTCCTCCAAGTCCAAAGGCCCCCAAAACTTCAATCTCCTCCAGGCCCAAGTCCATGTCCCAAAAGTCGGTCAATCCCTGCATAGAGGGATCCCTCCAACCCTCCTTCTTCAGAGTCTGACCCTTCCTAGATTCAATCATAAAAGGCCTCAACTTATAGTCCTCAATTTGCTTCTGTAAAGCCACTCGTATTACTTTATGTTCAACTTTATGTTCAACAACAGCAGCATTCTCCTTCTCCTCCTTCTCCTCCACCATTTGTCCTGCCAAAATGGATTCCTGTACCAAGTCCTGAATTATTTCTGTGTTGATGATCGCTTTTTGACTCAAATTAGTCACTTTCTGTTCCAAATTATCAACTTTAAAAGTCATGTCATCCATCTTCTTGTGAAGCTGTCCCAGCGAACAGCTTATCTTACATAAAACAGTCACAATGGCCTCTCCTGTCAACATTTTTAAATGGTCCAAGGTCGCTCTCTGGTTCTCAGAATCCTTATCTGCAGCTGGAAATCCCCCAGTTATAGTCCTGTAACAGTTTCAAAAGCTCCCTCTAGAGGGAAACAGTCTCCACTTGTATCAGTTCTTTCAAGCACAACTCAAGCATTAAAGATAAAACTTCAGTTACTTTTCCTCTTTTTTAAACGCAGAGGAGGACAATGGAAACAGTATCTTACTCCGTTCTGTCAAATGCACTCTCTCCAAACGTCATCTGGCA